CTATTTTTTGGTTGCAGCCGTCATTATTGTTTTGGCAGGTCCGGGCTGGGGATTCGAACCCGCCACCTTAGGTGTACGTGGCTGGCGTCTTAGCCGGTTGAGCTATAGACGCCGAGCCCAAACTCTTGAGCTTAAGCGATTCTCTTGCCTCAGCCTCCCAAGTAGCTGAGACTACAGGCACTCACCACAACGTCGGCTATTTTTTTGTTGCAGTTGTCATTGTGTCTAGCAGGCCCAGGCCAGGTTTGAACCCGCCTGCCTCACGGTGTATGTGGCCAGTACCCTAACCAGTGAGCTACAGGCGCCAAGCCTACAAATAAATAAATTAAAAAAATAAAAATCGACTTGGCGCCTGTGGCTCAAGTGGCTAAGGCGCCAACCACATACACCTAAGGTGGCGGGTTCAAATCCAGCCTGGACCCGCCAAACAACGATGGCTGCAACCAAAAAATAGCCGGGTGTTGTGGCGGGCACCTGTGGTCCCAGCTACTTGGGAGGCTGAGGTAAGAGACTCTCTTGAGCCCAGGAGTTGGAGGTTGCTGTGAGCTGTGAAGCCACGGCATTCTACCCAGGGGGATAGCTTGAGGCTCTGTCTCAAAAAAAAAAAAATTAAATTAAATAAAAATCAGTATGATAAATACATAACTAAATCAGTGCCTCAATAAATTTAATGGCACTGAAACTGGGTTCTTTTAAATAGTCATTTTCATGTTATAAAGGAACCAAAATGAGAAGACAAAAATTAAAATTAGGGACACCAAAATTAAAACATTCAGTTTCAAATTTACAAACTCTAGTTATACTCACTGGACATCCGCTGTATGATCCAAATCTGAGGAAAAGAGGGAAAAACTTATAAGTCACTAAACTTGACTAGGAAATCACAAGAAAATAACTTTAGTTTATTATGTTAATTATTAGTTTATTATTCTGGAATACCAGAAAGTAAAGACTACTACAGCATACTCAATTAGATCTATTATCCTAACATTTTCAGAATCCATTCTTCACCTGTATCATAACTCCTATCAATTCTTCCCACTCAGAATCATAGATTAGGGTTAGAAAAAATTCTTTTTTTTAGACAGGAGCCTCAAGCTGTCCCCCTGGGTAGAGTGCTGTAGCATCACAGCTCACAGCAACCTCCAACTCCTGGGCTCAAGTGAGTCTCCTGCCTCAGCCTCCCAAGTAGCTGAGACCAATGGTGCCTGCCATAACACATGGCTATTTCTTGTTGCAGCCATCATTGTTGTTTGGTGGGCCCGGGCTGAATTCAAACCTGCCACCTTGGGTGTACGTGGCTGGCGCCTTAGCCACTTGAGCCACAGGCGCTGAGCCAGTTAGAAGGAATTCTTAAGAAATCATTTCATATAATTCCTTCACTTACAAGATGAAATCTGAAATCCAGAGAGATTGTGTGACTTGTTTAGGACTACCCTGTAGATTAGAGGCAGGGTTGGAACTAGAACTGAGGTTTTCTTTTCTTTTCCTTCCTATTTTTTAAGAATAGAGTCTTACTCTGTTGCCCTAGACTAGAGTGCCATGAGAAGAGCCTAGCCTCACAACAACCTCAAATTCCTGGGTTTGAGGGATCCTCCTGCTTCAGCCTCCCAAGTAGCTGGGACAATAGGTTCCCACCATAACAGCCACCTGATTTTTCTATTTTTACTAGATAAGGAGTCTCACTCTTGCTCAGGCTGGCCTTTTTCTTTTGGAAACAGAGTCTCACTGTATCACCCTCGGTAGAATGCTGTGGCATCCCAGCTCATAGCAACCTCAAACTCGTGGGCTCAAAAGATTATCTTGCCTCACCCTCCCAAGAAGCTGGGATTATAGGTGCCCACCACAATGCCCGGCTATTTTTTGTTGCAGTTGTCATTGTTGTTTAGCTGCCCCGGGCCAGGTTTGAACCTGCCAACTTTGGGGTATGTGGCTGGCGCCATAACCACTGTACTACAGACGCTGAGCCTCAGGCTGTCCTTTAACTCTGGACTTTAAAAATCTCCTCATGCCTCGGTCTCCCAGAGTGCTAGGGTTACAGCCTGGCCAGGAAATGAGGTTTTCTGATGCCCAGTTTAGTGAACTTTGCAGTGTAACATGTCTTCTTGTGGTATTCAAGGTTCAAATTCATCTTTAATTCACTAAGAAATATTACTGAGAATTAAGTTTTAGACACTAAGAGGCTCAACGACCAACAGAGTTCACATACACGTATTAAAGCAAAAGACAGATATTAACCTTAGAGAAATAAAAACATACGTTCGCAAAAAGACGTATAAGAATTTCAGTGTTAACCAGTTTAATGAAAATATTTCAAATTGTATGTGAAAACACCACACTGTACCCCATGATTGCATTAATGTACTCAGCTATCATTTAAGAATTCAAAAAAAATTTCACAATTTTACTTCCAAAAATTAAAAACTTGATGTCCATCAGCGAGAGAACAGATAATACCGAGTGTTAGATGTTGACAGGTGGTAGAAAGATGCCACAGAGAACCAGGACAAGTCAAATTAACAGCAGATTTATTAAGAGTATCTGCCAGCACAGCTCAGGGCCAGTAGCCCAGTGGCTAAGGTGCCAGCCACATACACTGGAGCTGGCAGGTTCAAACCCAGCCCGGACCTGCCAAACAATAACAACTACAACCAAAAACTAGCCGGGCGCTGTGGTGGGCGCCTATAGTCCCAGCTACTTGGGAGGCTGAGGCAAGAGAATCGCTTAAGCCCAGGAGTTTGAGGTTGCTGTGAGCTGTGATGCCGCGGCACTCGACCAAGCATGACATAGTGAGACTCCGTCTCAAAAAACAAACCAAAAAAAGAACATCTGCCAGCAGATGGACCACTGAAAGTGGAAAATGGCAGCAGCTGAGTTAGGGTAAGACCCTCTTTTTTTTTTGAGACAGCGTCTGACTTTGTCGCCCTCAGTAGAGTATGGTGGTATCAGAGCTCACAGCAACCTTAAACTCTTGGGCTCAAGTGATCCTCTTGCCTTAGCCTCCCAAGTAGTTGGGACTACAGGTATTTGCCACAATTCCCGACTGGCCTTTTTTTTTTTTTTTTACGAGATTGGGGGTCTCACTGTTGCTCAGATTGGCCTTGAACTCCTGAGCTCAAGCAATCCACCCACTTCCCAGCCAGAAGCCTCCTTTAAAGCAGTTTGGGGATGTGGCTTAAGTATAGCTCAAGAGGTAGAAGGGAGGGCCACACAGAGATCAGAGGTCACCTGCTAGAGGCCTTGTAAGAGGTGGGAGGGTCAGCTGAGGCTGGAAAAGGAAGGAAAGTTAACCTTTTTTTTTTTTAAGACAGAATCTCACTTTGTCACTCTTGATCAAGTGCTGTGAAGTCACAGCTCACAGCAACCTCAAACTCCTGGGCTTAAGTGATTCTCTTGTTTCAGCCTCCTGCCCAGCTTTTTTTTTGGAGACAGGGTGGGGGGTGTGGGGGTAGGGACAGTCTCAGCTCTGGCTTAGGCTGGTCTTGAACCTGTGAGCTCAGGCAATCCACTGGCCTAGGCCTGCCAGAGTGCTAGGATTATAGGCATGAGCTACACCTTGGCTGGAAAGTTATTAGCCTTTTAAAAGGACTAACCAAGGTGGAAAGTCCACATTCTGCAACATTCCAGGAACAACTTTCCTACAATATTCAGAGACAAGTGGGCTTAACCATTGTTCTGCATTTTGACCTTTGGCTTATTCATTCAATTTCGCAGCCCAGTTCCTCTAAATGGCTACCTGACTAAAATGGTCACACTTATCACACTAAGGGTTTGAGGACCCCTTTCCCACACCGAGGTACAATCATATAATGGAATACTACTCAGCACTACAAAAGCATGCACTGAGGGCAGCACCTGTGGCTCAGTGAGTAGGGCACTGGCACCGGCCCCAGCCAAACTGCAACAAAAAAACAGCCAGGCATTGGGGCAGGCGCCTATAGTCCCAGCTACTCGCAAGAGAATCGCCTAAGCCTAAGAGCTGGAGGTTGCTATGAACTGTGATGCCACAGCACTCTACCAAGGGCAACAAAGTGAGACTGTCTCTGGGGGAAAAAAAAGCATGAACTACTGCCAAATGTACATGCACAACATGAATATCAAAAGTTGGGTGAGGTGGCTCGGCACCTGTAGCTCAACCGGCTAGGGCGCCAGCCATGTACTCCTAAGGTGGCGGGTT